AACTTAAATATTCCATGCCTGTTTTATATGCTGACACCCATGTAAAAGAAAACTAACCAAAAGTTCTCCCAATTTTCTGTTAGCAGCATTTTCCCCCTAACATTTCAAAATCTTCACATATATCTGCACTGAAAAAAGTCCAAATCTTACCAAAATGTGGTAAGCTTTCACATCTATGAATTCACCGATGCTTCCACTACCCCTCAGCTTGAACCTTTCACACCTGAAATATAAAGATCTCCCTCTGTCATACATGGTTTGTTTGGGTGACTCAAACTGCACAAGGTGTGTGAAATGCTCCTGTGGACTGAAATAAATTCAGTTTTCCACAGATGCGGAAGAATGTTTTTGGAAGAGAACTTTTGCATTAGGTGGTGTATTAATAATCTCTTACGGTCTTTAAACATTTAATAACTGAAATAAAAGAATCCGTTTCTCAAACTGAATCAATATCATTCCATTACGAATGCCATCAAGACTGCATATTTTAGCTATAATCACCATTGCCAGTTCAGACAAGTTCTTTAAAGCCCAAACTTTTAATAGTCAACTTCATAACCCACTGGTTCACTAGTTTGATTTTCAGAAACCAGTAGAACATTAGATTTTGTTACTATTGATCATTAAACATAAAATAATTTTACAATCATATGTTCTTTAATATTTTAATTTTTATTTTTTTTTTGTACTCTCAAGGGCCATATCCTTGTTTGAAATAATAATTTCCCTTTTTTGACATCTTTTTCTTCACAGAGCTGGTTGACTTATGCCTTGTTGCTGCCCATCACACCCAGCATTTCCTTCCATATGTTCACCTTCCTCTGACACAGAGCTTGCTGCAGCTTAGAGCATTTTCCATCCTTTCATTAGAGAAGACTTCAGCTATAAACATGGTTGCAATGGGACACTCAGCCAACTCATTTCACAAGTAGGCCACCCTGCACTTTCTACATGACATAACCTCAAGAAAAAGTTTTCCAGTGCAGCTTCTGTATATCTGCTTTAACCATTAGCTCTAAACACTGAGGATGCCAGTTCTTTCTCCAGTTGCAGTGTTTAACAGTATATAAAGTGAATGCATGAGAAAGCAGGTGCTTTCAGTTGCCTTCAGCCTGCTTTGCCCTATTCTAGTATTTCAAGTCCTATGGGTAACTGGGTGGCAGGGCAGCTTTCCAGAGATAGTGTACCTCCTTGGAGATGCAGAACCACAGACATGCAAAGTGGGAGTGGGCAGTAGACTAAAGCACAGTAGCTCTGTCAGCACTTTGTAGATAGCAACAACAAGACATAAATCACAGTTCTCAAAACCTCTGGATCATGAAGTCAGCTTTAATTTGCATTTGCCCATCCATGCCCCAGAAGAAGCTCAGGAGAGCAGACAAACCAAAAACCTGGCATTTGTGTAGCCTGCCTGCTGTCAGAGTGACAAGAAGAGTGTGTTCCTATTGTGACTATACAACCCACATCCACTTGTACAGTCAAAGTGCATGAAGTGAGAAGGGATGGCTCTGTGGCCAAACCATTAGACAAGGAGTTATGAGACCCCAGCTTTCATCATAGTCCTAAAAGAAATTCCTTGTGGATAAACCACAATCTTTGTTTGACTTTGCTGTTCTCCTCTAAAATTATATTTTTTTAAATGGCCACTTCTTCCACTCAGCTGTAATCAATGACCAGTTCTTTGGAGATCAAATTCATTCATGTTTATTAAGTGCTTGGAGATTATTAGTTGGACAGCAACATACCACTGGCTGAAATGTTGTAATTGTAAAAGCTCATATTGTAACTATTGTCTTACAGATGTTAAAAAATAACCACTGTTACGGGCATTTTTAAGATCACAAAGTAGAGGCATAAAAATTACAAATTAGAGAAATCCAGATTTCAGCCCTTGTGGCTTATTTAGCTGGTAGTTCTTTCATGCAGAGCCATAGCACGCTTGGTCCTACCTGATTCCTTCTATTAAGGGCAGGTATCAATGCTGCTCCCTGCACTTCACTACATTTCATTTTAACAAGTAAGGAAGTCCAAAACAGCATTATCTTAAGGTGGATCCAACATCTTTTTATCAGAAAAGCATTACCTATACCTTATACATATAATTTAATTATTTACTATGGACTATATAGGAAATCTCCAGCACATGTTCCTTAGTCTGAATTCCTGTATCACCAGGACTTCTCTTTCCACATATTACTGCAGATGCTTAAGAATGAGCTCATCTTGTTTGGCAGTTCGACTCCTGGCTGTCTCCAGGGGATCCCCACCAGTGTCCCTTTTGCTGTCAAGATTCAGGGTTCTGCATTACCAGCAACTCCCAAACAGGAGCTAGAGGCTTTCTTAAAGCAACACCCCTAGAAGCCAGTGACTGCTCTGCCTGCCTTGTTCATGTTCCTAGCATGAAACTCAGCCTGCCCTGTCTCTGCTAATCAATGAGAAAAGACAATTTCTGGTTTTGTCTTCCTATCAACACTTCTCAGTGGTGCATAAGGAATTGCATTCCTAACTGCTCTTTGCAGTCTTTGTTGCATTATTGCAACTTACCCAAAACCTACGAGTTTCTAGTTTTCACCACATTTGCCCTTAGAGCACTACCCCTTGCTTTGTCCTCCCAATTAACTTAGCCTGTTAAGAGAAAGCTGGAGACTGCCTTGCCTGTGCTGCTGGCCTCTTTCTCCCTTGCTAGGATGCATCCCCATGCTCTGCAGGACACAACCTTCATGGTCAGCTCTGTCAAACACTCAATGATTCAGGTCTAGCCTTTCAGTTTTGTTTCTTCTCATTTGTGAGATGCAAAACTTCTGGAAGGGCATTATTCAGATATTCCTCTTCTTCCCAGAGCCATTCGGATTTCCATAACTTGTGCAGTTATTTAAGGCAGCTTGCAGTCATGGAAATGTATCACCTCTTGGGTGATATAATCCGATCCAATATTTCAGTTACTCGCTTTACTGGTGTTTTTAACACAAGCGCCTTCTGTTGAATTTTCTGTCCTCTCCTGGACAGCAATTGCTTTCTTCCTGGAACAGCTGATTAAGCTCTCCTCTTAGTTGCTCACTCCTTGTGATATGAACATTCATCAGGTTTACCCTTAAAGAGTATGATGAGACTTCCAGAGAAAGTTCCTCACTGAATCGCTATTAAACAATCAATATTTCTAGTTGGATGTAAGGAAACCTGGTTCTCTCTTCCCTCCTGGTCACAAATCACCACATTGTTTCTTTCATTTCTGCTCTCTCCAGACCTCTTAAAATTGATCTTTTCCCTTGTGGCAGGCCTGAGCAAAGATTTCAGCAACTGGTTGTCCAATAAGTCATTGCTTTGGATGTTGCACAGCATTAAAGTCAGTATCTGCAGACTGGTTTCCTTCTCCTCCACCAGGTCTCCCAGCTTCCATCTCAAGAAACAGAGATCACGTTTATCCCTTGGCAGAAATCAAAGACAGTATACCTGGTGCAGGTAACTCTGGTAACTCACCAGATGGCCATATTCTTAATAAAACATAGTGTCCTCCTAGCACAGAAAGGAGCCAATTGCCCTCAGTTGCCGTTTTGCTAAAGTATGTCCTACAAACCACAGAGATTTAGAGTTCTTACATCCAATGATTTTTGCAGTTCTTCATGTTCATGCACTAAAAGGGTGCTCATTGATTTAATAAAGCCAAGGTCTAGAGAGATCTATAAATACAAGTATTTTACCCTGATGCATTATTGCCCTGATGCCCAGGACTGAACTTCTGCTCCTTCCCAGATAAATTGCTTCCTTGCTGGTTAACACCAGCTTCCATTAGCAAGAGTGGTGGCAGATGTATTTGGGAAGGTGATCCATGATAAAACACAGCTTCATCTCTTTTTTTTTTGTTTTCCCTTTGATTTCTTTACTCACCACATCCCATGCTCCTCCTTTCCCCATGCCCCTCGACTTAGAAGAATCAATAACTTACTGTTTATTACTATCAGTTAAGAAGTTATCATTGAAACCTGTTGAACTCTGTGCAACAATATACATCATCCTCAGGTGGCTGAAGATCAGGTTCCTACAGTTGCCAAGATTGCCTTCTAAGAGGCAGTCTGAAAGAATTTTTGTATGGATTTATAATAATGCTGGCTAACACTAATAATGCTAATAGCAATAATAGAAGCAGGGAGGAGAGATTGTATTGATATTTCAGTCCTGAAGTAGAACACGTTCTGCACATTGAGCTACTTTGTAACTTCCAAAATGTAAAAGGCACTGCTTCCTGATTTGTACTTTTCTTTGCATTCAGCAGCAAATTAAGGTTTATGGCTTGCTTTTAAATATATCGTGGGGAGTTTTATTTAGAACAACTGTTTTTCAATACCTCCTAAGCCTTGGCTTGTCCAGCTGAATTGCTCCCAAAAATGCTTAACTCGGAAGCAGAGTTACAAGGAAAGGGAATGTTTCTCCCCAAAATGTGTATCAGCTAGACACGTTATTAACCACTGAATTCCCGGCCCGGCAGGCAGTGTCACCCTTGGCACAAAGCACTCTGATGAAAGCACCGCTTGTGCTTTCACAGTCGTCCTATTACAGCGTCTACAGTCACGTTGCAGCGCTCACCTTGCACCCTTGTGCAGCTCCTCAGCTGCTGGCCTGTGGAACTAAGCACGTGGGAGCTCAAAGCAGCAGCGTTTCCAAACCTTGCCTTTCACTCTCTCTGCTGAGCTACAAGCAAAGACTTCTGTGGGCACCCCCGACTTTGTGACAACAGCCCTCCCTCCAAATTCACGTGGTAAATGCGGTTTCACAGTGTCATATTAAAGTCATGTACAACTTTGTGCCTGAGAGTTTTGAAGTCGAAGAAATGGTTGCCAGATCATGGATTGGATTACTTTCCATTAGCTCAGCTCTGAGATAACCTTGTGTTACATGAAGGCGACAGAGACACCCAAGATTTGATTATGTGAAATATTCCCCTTTCCGAGGGGCTGCTTTTAGCACAGGCCTGAATATTCGTACCATTTAAAATCCAAACTTACCAGGCAAACACACATTATACAAGGGTTGTCTGTGATAAATGGTATCTGCAGAATTTCCCCTTCATTTTCACATTTTGCAACAGATCCTGAAATAGAAATAGGAATTTTAAAACACTGACATATTTCAATGCCCCCAGCTGGTTTTGGAAACCATCCTTCCTCATCCTCATCGCGTTCACACTTAACCCCTGCTCCATTCCTGGCCTTCATCTGCCCACTTTGAACAAGGCAAGGATGTTCAACATGTCTGTGAGATTCCAAAGGGAACTGGGAAATGACTGGCCTTTTATTGCTGCACAAACCTAGACTCTCTTTGTGCCCCAGTTATAGCAAAGAAGGAGGCTTTTTCTCCTCTCAGATGACGTGTGGAGAATAATGAGTACTCCATGCAAAGCAGGGCACTTCTCTAACGACAGATCCAGAGCTCACTGAAACCAGCAGAAAGCTGTCAGTGGACTTGGACCAGGAGTACAGCACGAGCTCTAAACCAAGAAGCATCCTTTTAATGCACGACGGCCAATTGGCAAATGAGTCAAAATTAGCAGGCTGACTGTCAAACGGAATCAAGTTAGAAATCCCTTTATGGCCCTCACGCTGATTAGCCGGGATTGTGTCATGTTGGAATCACTTCTCGAAACCTAATGGCTCTTTGCTTGCGCTAGAAATTGATTCAGCATTTCCCTCTGTGCCCCGGAGGGCAGGGAAATAAAACCCTCGAGGGAAAGAAAAAAAAAAAAGAGGGGAGAGGGATAAAAAGGACCAGCGTGTGATGGGGGTTGGGGGGGGAGGAGGATGGTTCCTGTGTTCACCTGCCCCAAACCACGCGGTTACACCTCCCCGTGTCCGACCCTTCCCGCCCTGTGCCAGGCAGCCCCGCGCCCGACGCCGGGCCCCGCAACCCCCCCTTACC